CAGTGGCTGCTGAGTGCTTTGTGCCAGCGCTGTGGTTTTGCCAATGTGGAAGAAAGCTGGACTGTGACTGTGTTCACAGGGGTCCTATGTTGAAGGAAGAGGATCTGACTCCCTATTTCAGAAGGCTGATTTGTTATTTTATGATATATATTATATTAAAACTATACTAAAAGAATAGAAGAAAAGTTTTCACCTCAGAAGGCTAGCTAAGCTAAGAATAACAAAGAATGATAACAAAGGTTTGTGGCTCGGCTCTGTCTGAGCCAGCTGGGCTGTGATTGGCCATTAATTAGAAACATCCAACATGGGCCAATCACAGATGCACCTGTTGCATTCCACAGCAGCAGATAATCAATGTTTACAATTTGTTCCTGAGGCCTTGCAGCTTCTCAAGAGGAAAAATCCTAAGGAAGGGATTTTCCATAAAAGATGTCTGCGACACTGGGCTGCTCTGCATGTTGGTGCTGTGGATTTGCCAGTGTGGAAGGAAGCTGGACTGCTCTGCCCTCTCAGCCATCACAGAGCAGCACAGCACTCCTCCCAGCAGCTCAGCTCTTCTGCCTTTCCCCCCACATCTGCTCTGCTCCCCCACCCTGCCAGGCACTGAGCTGTTATTAATGGACTTGAAAATCTGCCCAGAAAATCTCCCAGCCCAGATTTTGCCTGCCCTTTGCCCTTTTTGCTGATTAACTCCAAAAAGCCTTCTGAGAAACCTGCAGCTGCTGAAATGCACATCTTGCACAGCAAGATGAAATCTGTCTGTCCCTTTTTTCTTCCTTTTTTTTGTTTTTTTTTTTTTTTTAGCAGCAATTGCTTGCTTTTAGTAAATGGAAGAGTAATCTAGAAAATGCTTGACTATTAGGCCCACTCTTCCTTAGCATATCAGTTTACACTGCACAGAAAGCTGTTATTAACTGATAATAATTCAGTTAATATCAAGTGCCTGAGATCTTGCAGAACTGTTGCCAGCAAATGGGCAAAAGCAAGTCTAATTTATCCATCTGGTGCAGGGAGCATAGAAGGGAAAGTTGCCTTTGCTACAAGACAGAGGAGGCTGCAAGCCAGACAGAAAAAAAGAAAGAAAATATCCTGACATTCTTGTCCAGCTGGAGAGACCTTTTGTGCTTGGGCTGGTAAGAAAATGGCTGAAAGGAACACATAACTTGGGAAAGGATGCTTAAAGGTCAAATAAAACTTTGCCTAAAAGAAATCTTGAACCTTAAATCAGATCCTGATTAGCACTGACTGAAGGCTGACATGAAGTTTTGACATGTGGGGATTCTCAAATGCCCACAGCTCACCACCACTCCTGCACTAATCAATCTCTCTTTGATAAGAAGCCAAGGCCAGGCCACTGGATATTTGGTTCCAGTTCCAGATACATGTTCCAAAGTATCCCCTGGATCAGAAGGAAGCCCTGGAGGCCCTTCAATTGCACTGCTGTGTGCTCTGTTTTACGGGCAAGCCTCACCTCCCTGCTCTGCCTGCTCTTGGATTTTATTCCCTTTCCCCTTCCAGGCTTGTGGGAGCACAGAGTTTATAACAGAGCTGTTCTGCTCCTGGCCAATGCCAGCAGCACAGAGGGCAGCTGTAGGCTGCTCTGTCTTTAGGCTGTATTGATTAAGCTACAATCTGTGTAGGAAGGGGAGAAATTTCATTTGGTGAAAGCACCTGAAGGGCTCCTGGAGGGCTCTGATGGGGTCAGGGCTCAAGCACTGCAGGGAGAAGCTGGAGCAGTGCTACCCTTCACTCCCTACAGGGGTAAATTCAGCCTTTAAAAGACAAGAGGAGGAGCCTGGAGATGACAGTCTTCACTTGAAATACCTCACTTGGATGTCTTGGATGGGATGAATCCCCATGGAGACCCTTACAGCAAGCATGTGTTTTCCAAAGCACCTTTCCCTGGCAGTGTTTTCCATGGTGAGCACCCTGCAAGTGCTTGGTTTGCCCTCCCCACAGGGCAATCCTTGTTCCCCAGGTTTATCTGACCCTACAGTGTTCACTCTGCTGTTTAAGGAGTGTCCCCTCAGCAGTGACATTCCAGCCTGGTGCCCAGATGATGAGCCCCCCACATCAGGAGGCTGCTGGGGTAAAACAGGGGAGTACAGGGTGAGGCAGTGGGGAACACAGACAGACAGCAGCCAGCTCTCCTTAATCCTAGTCCTCATGTGTCCTGGATTGCAAGGCAATGTTTATTTTATTTGCCATCTCTTAAAGGTGGGGCAGTTATTATCTGTTAATTGGGCAGTTTTCCTTACCTCTTCCATAAACCAACCCTCCCTCCAGAGAGATATCTGCTGTTAGAGGGCCAGTGACTGTTACTGTAAGGCTGATAAAATTACATCACATCATTGTGAGATGCTCTGCCCAGGGGGAGGAGCCAAGCATTCCTGCCTGGATATAATCTGGAGGTTCTGGAACACCAGCATGGCTTCTCCATTGTATTCCCCAGAGGAACAGCAGCTGCCCCTCCTTCCACTGGATCTTCAGAGGAAGAACACACCTTTCTACAGGATCCCTGCTCCAACAGAACCACAGCTGACACTCCAGGAGGGCTGCAGCCACAATTCCAATGGCACTGCTGCCAACACCCTGACCCACAGAGTGTCAGGTTGGGTTCTGACTCTGTCAGTGTTGGTTTGGTTTACTGCATTGTTTATTTTATCTTTTTATTTTCTTCCCTAATAAAAAACTGTGATTCTTGCTCCCATATTGCCCCATATTAAGGGGCTCCCGAGAGCCCCTTAATTTCAAATTTATAACAATTCAGAGGGAGGGGCTTTACATTTTCCATTTCAGGGGAGGTTCCTGCCTTCCTTAGCAGACTCCTGTCTTTCCAAACCAAGACATCATGCTGTGTAGCTGCTCTTACAGGACAAATGTTTTGCATTCACTGCCTCTCTGTACCTCACTCACTTTTTCTTTCAATTTCCAGCAACCCTGACTGTTGGTCATCCCCAGAATGTTGTTCATCCCCTTAACCCCCACTAGAGAACAAATTTAGTGCATATTTCTTAAAACAGGAGACCTCCACTGAGGGCTGTTTGCTCAGCCCTGCCTGTGCTGGCCCCATCCCCATCCCTCAGGCACCTCCAGTGCTTGCTCCCCAGCAGCTGGGGCACCTCCTCAAAGCCACCACTGCCACTTACCATGGCCCAAGTGCCACTCCACTGCCTCAAATCCACCCAGATATCCCTCTAAATTCCTTAGGAAGGAGTCCATGTGAAATTCATTGGAAATTTTGCCTTTAAAAAATCAACAACAGACAAGCCCAAACCAACAAACAAAATCCTCAATCTCCCATTTGGCCTTTTTTAGGGTCCCTGGCAGTGCAGCATCAGGCTGGAGCTTTGTCATCCTGTTTCCTTTCACTAGCTGACAAAATGCACCAAACTGTTGCATACATCTTTTATGAAAAACCCTTTCCTTAGGATTTTTCTTCCTGAGAAGCTGAAAGGCCTCAGGAACAAAATGTAAACATTGATTATCTGCTGCTGTGGAATGCAACAGGTGCATCTGGGATTGGCCCATGTTGGATGTTTCTAATTAATGGTCAATCACAGCCCAGCTGGCTCGGACAGAGAGCTGAGCCACAAACCTTTGTTATTTATTCTTTCTTATTCTATTCTCAGCTGACCTTCTGAGGAAATCCTTTCTTCTATTCTTTTAGTATAGTTTTAATGTAATATATGTAATAAAATAACAAAACAAACCTTCTGAAACATGGAGTCAGAACCTCATCTCTTCCCTCAACCTGAGGCCTCTGTGAACACGGTCACACCAAACCTCCCTGTACTTGAAAAGACCTGCCCTTGTAAGTTATTTCCCACCACTTGTCAACAGATAGTGACAAATCTTCCTTCCCCCAGGGTTTCTCTCACAGCTGCCAGCTGCTCTTTTTCCTGGCTGAACATTGAATTTACCCACTTAGGTGCTGCTGTTCACAGGTGTGACAGGAATTCATCAAGTCCCACCAGGGCTGAAGGAGCCTCTGGGAATTCAGCTCCTGTTTCTCACCTCTTCCCTCTCCCTCATCCCTGTTCAGGAAAGCTTTCTTTGGCAATGGGATGGAGAACATAACATTAAATCTGAGCCCAAGGGGATGAGGTGGGTAAGAGGAAAATGGGGGCCAGAACTGTCTTTGCTGGGGCTGAAAGGTGGCACCACTGGAGAACTGCTAATAGAAGGGTCTGGACACAGGGATTTTAGGCTAATGCTGCAATCAAGGGGATTTAATAATCCCCTTGATTATTAGCATTATTAGCATTTAAAATTTATTACCAGGGAAAGGAAAAGCCCTCTGAGGCTTCAGTTTCTGTCCTCTCCACCTTTGTGTTTCCCATGAAAATCAGTATTTGTGTTTTTTTTGTTGCTCATTGCACTGGCCCTGTATTTTGCAGCGAGCTGGGAAGGTTTTCCTAGCTCCTTGCAGGTGGGGATGGTCATTTGTGGAGGGTGAAAAGATGTTTATAGTCTTTGATAAGGGATAAACCCCCTCCCCTAGGCAGCAGCAACAGCACTCCCCTAATTGTTAAAGCTGCCATCTGATACCAGCTGGCTCTCCCAGGCACAAAGCAGCCACCCTCTGGAAATGACTGAGCAAATAAAACAGTTTCACATGGTTGGTCCCCAGAGAGTGACAAATCTGCCCCTTGGTGCCACCACACAGCAGGAGGAGCTGGGAGCTCCAAACATGTGGGTGGTTTCCACCCATGCCAAGAGAGAAGGGGAAATGCCAGTCTGCCCCTGGAGTGATTAATCCTGCCAATGAAGCAGCGCTTGCTGCAAACAGGGATGAGTTTTCTTTAATTAACAATGATTCCCATTAAAGCTGATGGCTCAGATGAAATCTGAGAGCTCATTCACCAGCTCCCCTGTCTCTGTGGAAGGGACCAGGTGGAAGGTTTGTGCCACTCTGAAGGACTGAAAGGGCCTCAAAGGGCTGGCACATGGAATGAGGGCTGCATAAATAGTTTCTGCATGGAATTTTAGGTGCTTACCTGACTAAAGTCTTCCTGTGAACCTCACAGCAACTACTAAAATCATCCCAGGCAGCTGAGGTTTGAGAATCACAAAGCTTTTCTCAGTCTAAATCCAGCTCAGTGTTCGTGTAGTGCCCTCTCACATCACTGATGCAGGTGTGCCAAAACACATCTGGCTCAAGGGAAGAGCTTTCATCCAGCCTTCTTTGGTCCCAAATCCTGTAACTGCTCTTGGATCCCAGGAGTAGCCATAAAACACTGAAATGAATCAGAAGTGATTGGAGTTGCAGAGGAATTGAGGGGATGGAAGCAGGTATGTGTGCATGGGGGGAAAAAAGCAGTAGGAATTGCAATAGGTAAAGAAAGACCCACCTTTGATTAGCAGGCACACTCCCAGGGAAGTGACTGGGAATTAATCTGGGCCACTGCACATCTTCACCCTTCATCTTGCAAAAGAGAAGGAGAATGAAGCTTGAATTGAAAGGAAAAAAAAAAAACCACCACAAAAAAACCCTATAGCAGCATTTGACCACTCTTTGGACGCTTGGTGAAAATATTTCCTTCTGAATTATCAAAACAAGAGCACAGAGCAGCAAGAAATAATCACAAAATGAAAGGAGACTGAACATTAGACTGAACTGTGGCCCAGCTCACAGTGGCACAGTTTAACCAAGGACAGACCACCTTGTTTTGCTACAAAATGTGATCTTTACACAGTATGAGAAAAAGAAAGCACAAGATTTGATGGAGTTTCAGATATCTCATCTTACAGAACAATGGGCACAGTGACAGGCTCCATCTCTGCTCTAGCATGTGCTCATGGGGACAAATATCTGGGGCAGTAAATTGCCCTGATATCTTCCTGGATGTCTGTTTATTGGAGCATGTCTAGCAAACCAATATCTGACTGAGAAAGCATTGGATTCAACAGAAGGAAATCAGCAGGAATTTGATGGGAGAAAGTCTTTGTATTTCTCTCCAAATAACATGCACACACACCAAAAAACCAAAAAAAAAAAAGGTAGCCTTTGTGTCACGTTCTACTGACAAATTATATTCCAGTGTAAGACACAGAAGAGTGAAGTTCTTTCAAATGCTTCGTGTAGCTAGGAGAGATGAGACAAAACAAAACTCTATTTTGATATCTGTCTCAGGCAAATGTCACAAATTAACTAAGTCCTTTCATGACTTAATTCCCTTATCCTCACAACTTCTCAGTGAGGGCAGACTGTGCTGCTCTCCATCCCATGGGCCCCCAAGGAACCCATGGCACAAAGAAACAAGGGGGGCTCTTTGCATTTCTCATTCTGATTCTCACCAGGTTAAAGTCATGGCAAAGTAATAGAACTGCAAAAAAAAAAAAAAAAAAAAAACCCAAACAAACAAGCAAACATCTCTTCATCTCTATAAGGAAACAGGGTCCACTCTGCATTCCACTGCAATAGCTCAGTGCTGAGCTCCCCTGCTCTCCAAGTCAGTGACTTTATGCTGTCTTGTTTAACCAAGCCATGTCCAAGGTCAGGGTCACGTGTGAACAAATACAGAATTTCAGGCCTGCTTTGGTTTCTTTGAACTGATCTATTTCAGTGTTTCAGAAAAGAGCTGGCCCTCTCAGTTCTGGCAGGAAAGGAAATGGTTTCCAAAAGTTCCCTCCCTTTATGTAAATAAGCTGCAGCTGCAGCAGATGATGGAAGCAGCATGATTGCAAACTCTATTTAATTTCAGTACATGTAATACATGTCCCTGTTGGTTATTCAGAGTATATACAGTGCTTTATGCACCTGGCAGAGTAAGAGCAGGATCTGTGATTATTAGTCCCCAGATATGTGCTTAGTTCAGTCATTTCCCCAATTCTATTACCTGGGTATTTGCTTGAATGAGGAGGTGAATGGCTTTGGCTTTGTTCATTCATTCTTCATTCACTTCTCGGTGTTCAAGCAAATTAAATCCTTGGTGTATGCTTGCACAGGCACAGCAGACTTTAAATTAACTCATCCAAGTGAATCAGACCCAGGCCAAACACATGAATTTAATAATCAACAAAAATGGAGCAGAACTACCCCAGTGTTCAGTGCTGGTGAGGCCACACCAGAATACTGACTTCTAAAGAAGTGTTCAAAAAGCATGTGGCTATGGCATTTGAGAATATAATTTGGTGGTGAACATGATGGTGGTGCTGGGTTAACAGTTGGAACTTGATGATCCTAGAGGTCTTTTTCAACCTTTACAATTCTATGATTCTCCCTTGGACCACCATGTTCTGTCAGCTCTGGCCCTCTGAAATTCAGAGCTGACAAATCACCTGGTGATCAAGAATTATACTAGAAGAATATTCACACACATAATATATACAAATAATAAAGAAATTAATACAATCAATCAATCAATCATAGGCAGGAAGAAAAAGCTGGTCTTATGTAGAAGGTGAGATTTGCCTGAAGAAACCAAATTGTATGATGACACCAAACTACATAAAGAAATCTTTCCTGGTTTGTACAGTTTTTACCTAAACTTCCCAGAAGTTAATAACTCTTTCCAGAAATATGTGTTTGCTTGCATTCAAGTGCAGTTTGCATTATTTATTTTAATTTTATATCAAATTAAAAAAAAAGTAAATTAATGCCTCATTTCACTTGCCCACATAGCACCTATGAAGAGGGTGAACATTTCCATATTTATGTCTCCATTTTCTCTAGTCAGCAAGAGAACTCAAGTCCCATTGCCAGTCACACACAACAGTTGCTTTAATTAGTTTCTCCCTTATTGGAATAACACCCCTTTCGCTAAGAATTGTCCAGCTCATCCAGAAAAGGCCATTTTGCTTGTGATAACCTCATGCAAATAATCTCAGCTTCCACAGCATCATTTCTCCCTCACTCTTGGGAAAAGCTCAGGGGAGGAAATATAACAGGAATACAACTGTTTCTAGCACATTCCCACTGCTGGGCCTCTGAGTTTCACAGTCCCTGCTAAGTGACTTCTCCTGTGCTGAGAAATTGTTTGGAGATGTCACTGCAACCATGATCCACACCTAAGGCATGGCTTGCTGCAGACATGATTTATTCTTTCAGCATCACCTTGTTATTATTGCAATTAAATTGTTCCTTCCCCCCCCCACACAGTGGTAGTTGAAGATTTTCTTTGAGCGTTTCTGCAGGCAATCTTAGCGTGACAAAAGGACATTCATTCAAGAGCTGCATGTTTCCATCAGACTTTAATCTCCTGAAAACAAAATTTCAAAGCATATTTCCAGCAGAGCTCTCTTTAACCAGGGAGTTGCTAGGGGAAATAAAAGGCCTTCACAGGTAAGTCAGGAGTTATTCACAGGACCTGACATTCACTTCTGTTACAGCAAAGTGTTTGACTCCTGAGTCACATAAAATATTTTTGATCAGAAAAAAGAAATTAAGGGAAAAAAAACCCCAAACAAACAACAACTCCAAAAGCAAAGTAAAGTAAAATCCAAAGAGAATCCCATGGGGAACTGAAATCAGAGTCCCTGTCACAACTGGTCTCAGCTCAGAGCTAGCCTCGCTCCATTTCTTTTCCCAGCCTGTTGCCTCTGCAAATCAGTGAAAATCTCTCCCCCCTCTTCCATGGTGCTGGTCTCTGTCAGCTCTGCTACCTGAATTCCATTTCTCTGTGCTCAAATAAATGCCAGAGCCAGTACAGGAAAGCCACAGGACCATGCAGGGGTTGAGGGTAGAACACTCCCTTCCCTAGCTGGCAGCTGTTGGGTCATTGATAGGAAACTGCCCTCCAAAGTGAACTCCACTTGTTCCCAACCTTCTCTCTCTCTCCAGGGCCCTGCTCGATTCCCTTAGCCAGGAACTGGGCTCAGCTGACTCCAAGCAGCTCCCCAGCTGAAAAAGCCAATTACCTGCAGAGTTCTTTAATGATGCTCTTCCAACTCCATCTCCCTGTGTTCCTCACTTGCTCAGCCCTAATCATGAATTTATGCCCTTGTACCTCATGACCTTTTCTCTTTCCTTTGTTAATATTAAAAGGTCACTTGTTCATGGATATTTCTTCACATGATGACGGCCATATTCCAGTGCCTGAAAGAAATATTGCAGAGTTTCCACAGCAATCTCTTCTGCAGGAGCAGCCAACACAGCCACAGCCTGCCAGAGGCGGCACTGCCTGGCTCCTCTGTGGAAACACAGGGCACTGGGAATATTTCTCTGTCTGTTGTAGGGTGCCCTGACCCCCAGGAGAGCACTGACTTTGATCCTCACTCATGGAGAAACTTTCCTGGACTTCAAGGTAGATCAGAACCCACAAAAGTGTGAAATAGATTATAGAGAGTAGTGTAGTTGTGTCACTTGGGTGAGAAATTCAGGTTTTGGGATTTTTAGTACGTTGTGGATGGAAGCAAGATGGAGGGCACACGGTGTCATCCTGGGCTGCTTCTTCCTCCTTCTTCATGGGTTTGGATGGTATTTTGTAATTGGGCAAAAAAGTCCCTATTGGGGGCTTCCAGGGATCGGTTATTGGGTTAAAAGGGAAAATAATCTAGGTGTCCTTTCTTAATTGGATAGCTTAGTCTTAAAAGACCTTGTAACAAGAGATTGTTGGCCATTTTGTGCCTTCTAATGAACTCATGGTTGTGAGACTCTTTTACTGATAAGAAATAATAAACACCTGAGTCAGAACATGAACTACCATCTCCAGTGCCTTCAATGCAGACCCAGAGAAGCCCACAACTGGTACCCCCACACTCCTCCTTTTCTTGGGAAAGAGGAATTTCCCAGCAATGTCTCTTGGTTCTCTGTGATGGTTATGGGATGCAGCTGGAGTAAGAACAACACTTGTTGCAGAGCTGCTCTGATAGGAACCTTTCTATCTGGTTTCCTTACTTCAGTAAATGGAATAACAAAAGAGTCCTAACCTTTTCCAGCAGGACAAAGGGTCACCAAGGCTCCAGGGTCACAGCCAGCTCCTTGCTGCTTTCTGAATGTATGAACTCTTCCTTGGAAGACTGACACAGCCCTGTAAAACAGAGGAATTGGTGCTATACTGTGGGATTTCCTGGGAGGAAAGATGAATCTGAGTCCATGTTCTCAGAAGGCTAATTTATTCTTTTATGTTACTATATTATATTAAAGAATACAGACAGAAGGCTAAAGAGATAATAATGAAAACTCACGATTCCTTAGAGAGTCCTGACACAGCCTGACTGTGATTGGTCATTAATTTTAAACAATTCACATGTTGGTTAAACAATCTCCAACCACACTCTAAAGCAGCAAAACACAGGAGAAGCAAATGAGATAATATTGTTTTCCTTTTCCTCTGAGGCTGCTCAGCTTCCCAGGAGAAGACTCCTGGGCAAAAGGATTTTCAGAAAATATGACAGTGACACTAAACTTCCATAGCACAAGAGGATAACTAATGTTTACAAGGTGTTTTGAGACTAAACATGATATATGTGTAAATTTGATTATTTTAATAGACCTTCCCATAGTACTTCACATTGCTATTTACTAGCAATATTTTTCCTAGGCTATTTTCAGCAGCATTTCCCATATGTAACTTGAATTTATTCTCCCTTCGCCTATTTAAATTATTCCTACAGAAAAGGCTGAGAGCTTAATAAGAAATTTGAATGGTACCTGTGAGTATTTTATCTCAGGTGGCAGATCTGACACCTCTGAATTAGTGCAGTGCTTTGTATTACATTCTGCTAGTGAGGGCTGTGAGGTCTTGTCACAGCTCATAAACCCAACAAGGTGGATCCTTGAATGGAAACCTCAGAAGAACACCCACATGCCACGTGAAGTCAGATTTCACCTTCTGAATCATCAGTTTTGCCCCTGAGTCATTTCTACAGCAGGAGTTCAGCTAGGTGCCTGAGGTTCTTTGCTGAGAAGAATTATTATAGTTATTATATATATTTTTAGAGCTTTATTTTTCATATCTTTTAAAGAGTTTTTTAAATATATATATTTTTAAGAGTTATTATAGTTACTACCATTCAAAATGCATTCAGAGGGAGTCCTTACCATTAAAGAGCTCAGAATTATTACCCCACAAAGAACAAAATTATGTATATAGGTATTTTTCACAGGTAGCAGGCAGCACTTTATCTTAGAACATCCTGCCAGCAATTTCACTTGGATTCAGTAATTTTGTCCTTTTGTCTGCCTGCAACAATACCAAACCCACAGTGTTTTATTTTTTTTTCCCAGGCACTTGGGAATAACCACTATTACAGGAGAACCAATTGCTGACCCATCCAGCATCCTCCTGGAATTTCTGGAGGATGTGGAAGGGAGCTGCAGGCGCTTGGCTCCACAGGAGTGTGAGCTCTGGAAGCAGCTGAGCACTGCAGAACACTCTGAGAGCAATTAAAGCCAGGAGAATGAGGCTCCGGAAAGAAACCCACACTGGCACACCCAAAGGGGCGCTGATGCATCCAGGGCTCAGGCTCTGCACACACTCCTGCCATTCCCAGGGTTTGATGACATGAAGACTTTCTGAAAATGGGCTGAGTCCCTGCTCTCAGAACTGAGGTTATGCTTGAGCTGCCAAATTCCAGCATGTATATTTTCATGTCTGGGTCTCAAAAACACCCATGTGACACCCTTTAGCACCTGGGATCTGGGTTCAAGCATCATCTTAATTTTTTTATATTACTTTTATTATATTTACATATTTTATTATATTTATATATTTATATGTTTTATTATATTTATATATTATATTTCTATATTTATACATTTATATATTGTATATAATATATAATATACTATGCTATATATATTGTATATTATATGCTATATAGTATAAACTATATAGTATATACTATATATAGTATATTTATATTTATAGTATATTTATTAGCTTAAATCCTAGGTGCGTAGCCCTAGTTGCCTTTGTTGCTCTGCAAAATCAATGCAAAATTCAGCCACAAATATTGATTTTTTTTTTTTTTTTACTGCTTTAGAACAAAAAATGTCTGCCTTCTCCAAGTGTTTCTATAAGCCCTAAGAGACACGTTCTCCCTGGTCCATTCAATGGGAAGAATTATATTTTCCTGCACAGAGCCATTCATAATTTATTTTTGATTTGCAAGTATGGCACAGTTTTGTCTAGAGATCTTGCTGCGGCAGCTCATGTAATTTAATATTTCAGGAAGATTAGGATAAAAAATGGCTTGTAGAAACTCTATGACAGCTTCATTACTTAGTTCTCTTCCTAACCATGAAAGTTAATCCAGGCTTCTTGTTTCCCTCCTATAGGCACAATGGCTTTTCTGTTTTGGTTTGGTTTTGATTCCATTAGGGATCTTCCCTTATTGACTTGTGACTTCCCTCAGTGACAGCTACGTGACCTTTTTGACATATGAGAATGTATCAGCCTGGATGTAAAATTTAAAATATTTCTTCAGAAAAAATTTGTGATCAAAACCAAGCTGGGAACACTGACTGCTTATTTATCACATTTCCCCTGAAAAGCCTCAAAGTGTTATCAGTGAAAAGCTGTGTTGTCAAAAAACTTGTGAGACTGAGAAAACATAATTGCTTTGTTATGCAACAGAGCTTTGTTGCAGCTCCTGTTGCCTTGCTGCCGAACAGAGACAATGCTTGTGGTTTCAGCTTCTCAGCTCAGCTTTGGGATTGTTCACCAAAATATTTTTATTTACTTTTGTACCCATCTGACTTGAATGGTGATGAGTGCTTGGTGTCACACTAAGGGGTTTAAAAGTAACCCAGCCCAAACCAGAGATCCCCACAGCAAACAGTGACCAGCTACAGGCACACACAAACATGACAGAAAATGGGTACAGGTAAAGCACTTCCAGCAGGTCATGAGTACAAAACTCAGGAGCCTGTCATGAGCAATTACTACCAGAAGAAGCTGGGAGCAGGGATAGGAGCTTTTCATCCCCATGATCACACCCAAACAACCCCCCTTACAGCAAAACATGGGACTGGCATAAAGGAAATTTAGGTATAATTTGCAGGTTTATGCCAAAATTAGATCCATAATGACCTGAACTGTTTGGGAACTGTTACTAGCCTGCATCAAATCTATGTACTTAGAACGAGGCACCCAAATCTCAACGGTTCCCTGGGGATTAATAGGATAACAATAATGTTTTGACTCCTAAAGATCTGTTGGTCCCAAGCTGAGAACAAGAAGTTGCCAGCTCACATCCCTCCATGAGTCTGGAACAGAAAAACAACAAGGATGACGGCTCACCATCTGTTCAGCAGTGATGTGGAGAGGTTGGAGCATCTCAGCCCAGCTCCCAGCAGATGCCCATGGGCAGCATCCCTGCCCACCGAGGGGCTGCTCACCCCAGCACCAGTCCTGCCCACACATGGCTGCTGCTCAGCTTTGCTGAAGGCTGGTTTTGGTAAAGTCAGGCTTTGATGGGTTTGCCTAGTTCTTTTTACGGGTTTTAATCTTAATGGACGCCCCTCTGTTGGGTTAACGAGATATTTAATGCTCTGTTTGTTTGATTTGTTGTATGTTGGTGATTTGTTAATAATGTACGGATGTAAGCTTGCGTCATAGAGGGGGGACACTGGTTACTCATTCTAGCATTAATTCTCCTATTTAAATATAGGTTAGCCTGTTAATGGGGAAGGAGTCATAAAGTTCCTATATTTTTGTTGTGTAGAGCTTTAATGCACTCTTTGTTGATGGCTGCTTGAGGGCCACAACGTAATTGGGAAATCGGTATTTATCTGCTCGTAGAGATTGTATTCCTTTTCAAAAGGAGCTGTACCCCCTTTAAAAAGCCCTTAATTCACTTCATTAGGGTTCATAGGTTTTCCATTGGAGAAAAATTAAGAGTGAAGTTAGATTTGTTTCACAGGCAACCAGCTATCACCCAGCTTGGTTGGCTTTTCACCTCTACTGACAAGTCATCCCCCTTTTTTGCCACAGAGACGGGTTCACTCAGTAACAGCTGCTCATAAGTAGCTCACTTGGGTTTCAGGATGGCAAACTCAAATTCATTTTGCTTGGTTTTTCTTGCTGGACCATGACGCAAAAGGTACAAGGGCTGATCTTTGCTGTTTATAGCTTAGTTTTCATTATTATTTCATCTTTCCCTTGCGGTACGTAGTCTCTATCCCGCCAATGGCATCTTTTCTACCGCACATCCAAGTCCCTCCTTAGAGGGGCAAATTCCTTTTCAAACTGCCTGAGCCCCTCTGTCCTGCTGCCACAAGGAAGAGCATTGCAGTGGTTTGGCTCAAACTGCACAGATTGCTCCAGGAGCTGACAGCTGTAGGCACAGCTCTGTCACCCACCACCCTGGGCTGCTGTAACTCTTGGATGGAATAAACTGCATTTTGGAGACCCCTGGAGTCCCACATCCCTCATTCAGGCTCTTACACTGGTCAGCTGCTTTCCTTGCACATTTTACAATCTTATTGGGAACAGGGAGAGTTTGTCTTCCTCTGAGAACTGCACAGGATGATACAGGGCAGACAGCAGCCTGTCCACTTTAAGGAACACTAAAATTGTGTCCTTCCTCTCATCTCTGGGTTAATGGATTTCATTAGCAGGTGGGTGGGACAACATTAAATTACAGCTCCAGCACTGACACCTGCTACAGGTGAGCACAAAGGCTGTGGAGCACTGAGCTCCCACTGGTGGCTGTGACCAAATGGATTTTCTCTGGTGACACTGAGAACAAGCCCAGAAGGAGGTTTGGTTTCTGAGTCACAGCAGTGATAATTGGGTGCCAAAGCCTTGGGGCTGGCACCCAGCTCCATGCAATGCAGCAGAGCTTTGCCCTTTCAGCTGAAAATGCATCACTGAAATCACATTTCTTGCACTGAATGGTTCTATAGCTGCTGGTGGTGAGAAATCCAGGCTGGAGCTCCCTGAGTGAGCTCTTGGAGCTGTGTGTGCTCAAAGAACACCTAATCTGAAGGATAAATGACTAATTTGTTTGTGTATATAGAGCCTTCAAGGAGAACAGGTTGCATGACCTTTGATTGTAATGTCTCCTTACATTTGATGTCTTGCAACTTGGGCACTTTTCAGTGACATGGACCCTTCCTTCCTATGTTGGCCAAGTTTGGATTGATTTTGAAGGCTCATCCAAAATGGAAGGCTATTAAAAATATAAATATTTAGCCCAAATTACTGGACCTTTCTTTTGCCTCTGAAAAGTTCTTGCACATGCCTGAGACCTCTTAAAAATAATAGTGGATTTACTGCAGTAAGAGCAAACCCACCATTAGCTCCAAAGAGAATAACATTTCATTGTCCAAGTAACAGGTACTGTTTTATAATACTGCAATTTTGTTTTCCTTAACAAAGATGCAGGTATTAAATTATTGAATTCAGCTCTGCTTTTTTCACCTAAACACAGATACTCCTCAAGTATTTCCTCAGGACTGTGCAGTAGAGTAAATTAATGAAAAACAAAATGTAAAGCTTTTTACAGGCTTGCAGATTGGAGGAAGATTTTGTAAAGATACTTTTAGAAAAGCATTTGATTTTCTAACTCCAAAATATAAGCTAATAATTATAATTTTTAAAATGATTAAAACCTAGTAGATAATGTTAAAAATTAACCATTGCCACACTTTTCCAAAACAATTCTTGATAACATGAAAATGCCACAATGCAGTTTTCGTATTGAAGCCGCTGAATATCTTCTTTGCTTTAAAAACAAATAATTTTTAAGTTTTATTCTGCTTCTATTTAAGGTCCTCCCCACAGAAAGCCACATCATTTCCCAAGTTTACCCAGATGAAGTTTTAAGCAGAGCTTTTTTTTCCCTTCCATTAGGAGACCAAACCTGATCCTGCAAAAGCAAGCATAATCCTCTCTGCATTACTACTAACTGCACTTTAGAGTCCTTGTAAAAACACACTCTCCTAGCCAGGCAGTCCCATTAGAAACAGCTGTGGGTCATGCCAAGTACTGCCAGAGAGATAAATTAATCTTCTCTTGTAAAATTTCTCAGAAGACAATCACAACCCCCAACTGAAAAAAAAAAAAATAGCACTTTTGGTTTTGGGGACTGAGCCAATTAATATTTAAAAAGCAGATGGGTCTCAGCTTGGTCCTTTTAATGTAACTTGGATGTACTCTGTTGAGCAAATGCGTAATTACTTTGGGGGTGTTTGCTTAGAAATGGCATTTAGTTTAAACACTGCTTCAGTATCTGTACTTTAAAAGGGTCAAGTGGAGCTGCTGAATTTGAAAGAGAAGGAAATTCAAGTTCTTCAGTTGGTCATTTAGAAAAGGTGGAGCTTTGAGTAAGAGCAGTAAATAAAACCAGGGACGTGGCAGAGACAGCCCAGCTTGTGCACTGCTGCAAACAAAGAGGCACCTGATGTGCAAAGGATTGCTCACATTTGAGTCATGTTAGAATGGGACCTGCTGGCTCCTGAGATGTCTGTAGGGACAAAGTGAAGAGCATTTCACAGAATCAGCTGGGTTGGAAAAACCCCTGAGGCTGAGCCCAGCCTATGACCAAACACCTCCTGGTCAGCCAGAACATGGCCCTGAGCCCTTTCGTAAAGGCTGCAGGGACAGTGGCTGCACCCCTGTGCTGCTGAGCAAATCCTCTCCTGAACTGGCACCCTGTGAGTTCACTTTGTGCCATTAATTAAGGAATGAATTCAGTAAATAATGAATCTGCCCTAGAGGAGGCTCCTGGATGGAGAGGTCACTCTCAGGTTCAGCCTTTAGGTGCACAGAGCCACGATCCAGAGCTCCAGCTCAGCCTCAAACCTAGTTTAGATCACAGTGGGCAAAACTCTTCAATTGTTTCAGAGCACCCAAGTGAGAAAACCAAACCCCTGAGAGTGAAGCAGAAGTGGTCACTACACAGAGGCCTTGCACACAGCCCCTGGTGTTCCTCACACGGAGCCTCCTTTACACCACCCAGGGATTTCTGACTGGGTCCAGGTTTCAGAACACCACTTGATGTGAAAAGAAATGGGAGGATAATTTCCATCCCGATACAAAATACCAGCTGCAAGTCAGTTTTCACCCTCCCTTGGACCAACCTGCCTGAGATATTCAGTGGTGATGCTGCATCTCCCTTGGCTCATGACAGAGCTGTGCAAATCACTGGCCTCACCTTGCCCACACTGCCTGAGCAATACAACAGACACAAAATGTTTTGACAGAATCTCCTGTGAACTCTGGAAACAGAGTTTGCTGAAAACACCTTAAAAAGCAAATGGGAATTCTGAGTTTACAGAAGGGATTCTTACTCAGTTTATCTGCTCTAGGTGCTTTTGTAAATCTTATCTTTGCTAGTGAAGCAGCAAGCACAGGGGACTGAGCTGGGTTTTGTCCTGTCTCTGGCACTGTAACAGAACTGTCAGCTCAGCACTATCTGTAGATTTTCTCCTGCTTGGCTGATGTGAGAGACAGAACACATTTCTCAGGCAGAGGATGAGCCTGTGGGTCAGAGTCTCTGCTGCAATGCAGACTCAGGGATTTCAGAGCCAATGTTATGGCACAGCCATGCTCCAAAAGTAATGCTGAGCTTCTATAGTCTTCCTACTCAATGCTTTTCAGAGTAAGTCCTCAATTTTTCAACCTTAAAAGACAAATGCCAGGGCTATGGAGCCAAATTTCTCTAATTTTTCAACTACTAATGCAGTTTGAAGCAGCATCAGTTTATAACTACTACAGCAGATCAATCTCATTTTAAAGAGTTCTCCTGATTTTTAGCTATTATTTTCTTTTAGGCTTCTTACAGAATTCTCTTTAGTTAGCACTTAAACAGAATTTCCTGTTCTCTGGAGGAAACCCCAGCCTGACAAAAGGCTGTCAGGATCCTACCTAGCACCTTGCAGTCAGGGAACAAAGCTGGCTGCATTTTGGGAGTAGTTACTGATTTTATTAAAAAAGCTTGTGGAGCCCTAGCAGCTCTGCCAGTTGACTACATGCTTTCAGACATTTTTGACAAATCCAGTTTGATTTTTAGTTCCTTTACCAGATATTTCCCTTTTCTCCCTTGACACATCAGCTTCCCACCACTCACAGATCACTACGGATCACAGATGAGGAGCTTTTCTTTGGCAGGTTCATACCCATACATCCCTCCTCTCCAGTACATTCATTTTTGTTAATTTCTCCTTGTAACCCTGAAGGGCAAATGGCACCAGCTCTGGTTTTTCTCTCTCTCCCTGCCTGATCCAGACATGGCAGCAGTGCCACACAGGACAATTTACATCCAGTATTGGAACAGATATTGCAGTGACTTACAGCATGAGGAGAGCTGTAAGAGACCTCTCACCTGTAGCTACTACACACATCAATTTACACAGGAACATCCTGAAGCCAAGCACAGAGCAGCCTAAATTAGAGATGCCAAGGGTCAGGGCTCTTCCCAATTCAGTGCATCCTCAGTTCCATCTAGAATCAGTGGTTGTGTCACAGACATCTTTTATGGAAAATCCTTTCCTTAGGATTTTTCCTCCTGAGAAGCTGAAAGGCCTCAGGAACAAAATGTAAACATTGATTATCTGCTGCTGTGGAATGCAACAGGTGCATCTGGGATTGGCCCATATTGGATGTTTCTAATTAATGGCCAATCACAGTCCAGCTGGCTCGGATAGAGAGTCCAAGCCACAAACCTTTGTTATCATTCTTTGCTGTTCTATTCTTAGCTTGCCTTCTGATGAAATCCTTTCTTCTATTCTTTTAGTATAATTTTAATGTAACATATAAAATAATAAAACAAGACTTCAGAAACATGGAGTCAGGTCCTTGTCTCTTCCCTCATCCTAAGACCCCTGTGAACACCATCACAACTGGTAGCTGCAGATATGCTGTGTAAGCCTCCCTCAAGAGAAATCAGATGTGGAAGAGTCTCTCAGGCTGCCAGCAACGAAGAATTTCCCCTTACAAAATAATACCAGTCACCTCAAAAACTTACATTTTGGGGATATGTTGGAAGGAGAGTGGAGGCAGATGCACCTTCTGCAGTCATATGTAAATGTCAACGTGTTGAACAGGAGAGCTGAGGTTTGTCACAGTGCTCAGGGCTGATTCTGGATCAGTTTTGAAGAGAATTCAGGTCTGTGTTTGCAGAGAAGCTGAGGTTGAGCTGTAACAGCCAGTGCCAGGATAAACAGCTGAGACTACAACTGACTTCAGTTCTGATTTTGCCTTATGGAATATTTTGCATGTCATCATTCCCTCTGCCATTAACAGCCACAAAGAGAAGGTTTACAGCAAAAGAGAGAATAATTTTTCCTTTTCTGTTTTATGTGTTAATGTGACATTAAAAAAGGAAAAAAAAACAACAAGGAAAGATCTAAATGTAAGAAAGAAATAATACTACCATTCTGCAGACACTTTAACTCAGCATCAACCTGTCAGCTATGAAAAAGAGGGTCTCTGGAAGCTGCCATTATGCTGCCACCACCACCTATAATGTTTCATAATGGATTTTACACAATGCCTCTCCAGGTATAAAGAAGCAAACTGCACCATTCCTGACAAAAAAAAAAAAAAAAAGCATTGATATTTTTTCAGAAGGTTAAGCAGAACATTGGTATTCACATCCCATTCTCCTTTCTTCATTTCTTCCCTTCCCATGATGACTTAGGGTATTTTATATACAAAAAGCCCACTGTTTACATTAAGGAAAAAAAAACACAGCCTACCTGCTAAGATAGCAAACATACCCCATCTTTCAGAAGAGCAATAATGTGGGAAATGACTGATCATGTGTGATTCAGCCTTGTGTTCCAATATGCATATTGGCATCACCACAGTCATCACTGCAGTGAGCACAACACTGAGCACCACAGATTTAGCAGCAAAACACAGGGTTCAAACTCAACTCCCCAGGCCCAAGAAATACACTGGCACAGACCCTCAGAAAACAGGGCTTATTTTGCCCAGAAAGAGGTACCCAGACTGTCCATAACTCTTTGTTTTTATTGTCTCGTATTGTCCTAAATCCAAATTGTCCAAATTTTAATTACTGTAATTATATTGCTATTTTTATAACCATTTTATTACTATTAAACTTTAAAAATTCTAAAAAACAAGTGATTGGTGCTTTTCACAACAGGGAAGCCAGGCACAGTCTGGGGGCAGGCAAAGTCAGCAGGAGAACTGCCCAGCTCAGCTGTCACAGTCACATTCTCTGAAAAATCCCCTTGCCCAGGATCCTTCTCCTGGGAAGCCAAGAAGCCTCAGAGAAAAATGAAAACAATTCTTATCTCATTTGCTTCTCCTGTCTTTTGCTGCTTTGGAATGTGGCTTGGAGATTGTTTATCCAACATGTGAATTGTTTTTACTTAATGACCAAGCACAGCCAGCTTTGTCAGAACTCTGGAAGAGAGAGTCCCTGGTTTTTAAGTAGTATCTTGTTAAGCCTTCTGTAAGTATCCTTTCTCTATTCTTTAGTGTAGTTTTAGTACAGCATTGTACAAGAAAATAAATACAATAAAATAAAAGACAATATAAGAAAATAAAAGACAATATAAGAAAATAAAAGACAATATAAGAAAAAATAAAATATAAGAAAATACTAAAAAAATAAAATTAAAATTATAAAAATAAAAAATAAAAATAAATTAAATTAAAATAGAAAATTAATAGAAAATTAAAAATAAAACCAAAATAAAATAAAGAAAATCAAGAAATTAAAAAATAAAAACATAAAAGATATACTTTTTAAATTAAAAAATTTAAAAATAAAAGATAAAATAAAAAATAAGAAAATAAAATGAATAAAATAAGAAAAGATAAAATAGAAAAAAAATTAAAATGTTAAAAATAATTTAAAAATTTGAAAAACAAAATAAAAAAATTTAAAATTATTATAATATAACCCAATATAATATAATAACATAAAAGAATAAATTAGCCTTCTAAGCACATGGAGTCAGATTCTCAAGTTCTCCTTCATCCTGGGGCCCCAGCAAATACCACACTCAGCCATTCCCTAATGACACCTGCCCATGCCAAAAGCCCCTGTGGAGAGCATTAAGAGGAAGGGATAGAAATGAAGCTCAGGGCTGCACACACCATGCTTTGGGAGAGCCTGGGACACATTTTCCCCATTGCTGCTAAAAGAACAAGCTGCTCACTGATGGCTGGGTACCAGGTAAGCTGCCTTTCATCATTTCTCCCCCAGTTCACGCTCTGACTTCCTCCCCTCCTTTCCCCATCCCCTGAAGTGCTGAAGTTCTGCTCTTCCCCTCTCTAAAGGGGACTGCACACCCCCAGCAAGCAGCGCCATACCCTGCTGGGCCTGCTGTTGCTAAGAGACTGAGAGAGAGAGATCCTACCCACTCAAATTCCCCTACAAATCCCAATATTCCTCCTGTTGTACTCCCCAGTCCTACTGAGATACCATCGGTGCAACCCTGCTATCCCACAGACCCACATGGGTTTTATGGGATGCTCCCTGCCACTGACCACACTACTGAGAAAGTCACAAAATATGATGTTACAGTAGATAACGTGGAATTAGCACAGATACAGATGGAATCTACTCTTGTGGAAAACCACTGAGGCCAGAGGAGGTCAGAGATCTTGCCTAGATCCAAAATATCTTGTCTGGATCTTGTAGATCAAGACAGGTTCACAAAAATATCCTTGGAAAGCCAAGCTAAAATGGGCCATTAGAGGTCACAGCACTGGGTTGCTCTACTGCATAAAGTCCCTCCAAATGCAACTAATTATGATTTTATTTCAGTGTTCAGATCGATTTCCCCCTCCCCCTGAGAATGCAGGGGAGTTTGCTCTGACAACACTCCTGGCAGGAGCCTCTCTCAGGCTCACAGAAAGGCTGGCAAACACCAAATAACAACAAATCTTATTGACAAGGGAGAAATATGGAGTAAGTTTGTGAAACTCTCCTGAAGTATTGCTGTGTTGCTAGGCTGACAGAATTATCAAATCACTGACAGCAGTGACAGACTTGTGCAGACTCACAAGAGTTCACAATTTCAAAGCCTGTTTTTGCTGCCTCTTTCAGGCACACCACCTGTAACTTGCTGGGTTCTTAATTCTCCTTTAAATTGAGACACTGATGGGTATGCATGGGGAGAGTTCAACCATCACACCAAAACCATGGAAATGTGCCAGTGGGTGATGCCATGATATCTTTGTACAGAAACCACTCAGGTTGGAAAGCTTCCCCAGCCAAACAGAAGGCATAAGGACAACAGATTATGGAGACAGAGAGAAGACTATCTCAATACCTCAAAAAAAAAAAAAAATGAATTCAAGGTTATGAACAGGCCAAAGAGCTCCAGATTAATTTTACAGGAGAGTAGAGCTTGGGGTACAGCAGCAAACAACTCCAGAACTACCCATGGGAATGTTGTTAATTAATAAAAGGGGAGCAAAGAGATTTGGGACAAACAGACATCAAACAGGTCACCCCAACAAATGTTTAGATGGCAAACTAGCCATCTGCTTGTGCCTTTGCCAACAGGGCTGAAAAGCCTTATTCGCTCTCAGATCATCTCTCTTCATACATGTATTTATGGCAAAGTGATCAAATATTCTGTTGATCTTCCCATGGAGGAATGTTTTCCACACTGAGATAATCTGAAAGCAGTTTTAAGGATTTCTGGTATTAAATAAATTTGTTTGGGAAATAAAAAGAACACGTCAAAGTTTATGTGAGGGTTTTAGTTTTTGGTTTCCCTGGGTCTGGATTGAAGGCACTTGAGACAGTAATTTGTGTTCAGACTCAAGTGTTTATTATTTCTTATCAGCAAAACAGTCTCATTACTGAGAGTTTGGCAGCTTTTCATCAGAAGACACAAAATGGCCAAAAATCTCTTGTTACAAGGTCTTTTAAGACTAAACTATCCAATTAAGAAATGACACCCAGATTATTTTCCCTTTAAACCCAGTAACTGATCCCTGGAGGCCCACAATGGGGACTTTTCTGCCCAATTACAAAACACCATCCAAACCCACGAAGAAGAAGGAAGAAGAAGAAACCCAGGATGACACCCTGTGCCCTCCATCTTGCTTCCATCCACAACATACTAAAAATCCCAAAACCTGAATTTCTCACTCAAAGATACATCTACCCTACTCTCTATAATCTATTTCACACTTTTGTGGATTCTGGTCTATCTTGAAGTCTAGGAAACTTTCTCCATGAGTGAGGGTCAAAGTCAGCACTGTCCTGGGGGTCAGGGCACCCCAGAGCAAACAGAAATGTTCCTGGTGCTCTATATTTCCACAGTTTACAAAAACAAGTATTCCTTTTCTGTGTGCTGCAAGGCAGTTTGGGATCAAAATCCCATGCAGAAAGCTCCAAAGAGAGACAAAAATCAGAAGTGTACAGGAAGCTGATGGGCAAAGTGGAGGCTGACAGAACTGCTGCTCCCTCTGATAAGGAAGAATTTCAGATGGCTGAGAATGTGGCATGTTTGAGGGGACAGCTCTTCTGCAGAGCAGAAAGGTAAATTACACACAGAAGAAGCAGACAGGGATAAAACAACTTTTCCGTGCAATGTTTACAAGGAATGGGGAATGTGGAGAAGATGCCAAGAACAGCCATACATTTTTTGGGAAGAAAGCAGAAATAGTCAGAAATTGAGATAATGCCAGAAATAGTTATAAAATTTTTTAGAATGTCACAAGGCTGACAAAACATCAGGGCCAGATGGGATCTGTCTCAGAAAAATCAAGCCATTAGCCAAAAAAAAGGGGGAAAAAAGCAAACCAAAAATACAAAACAACCACAGCACCATAGGAATTAAAGGAGTGAGGTCCATCATGCTTCACCCCTGCCACTTTCACATGGACAGCTGAGTGAAACAAGCCCTGCCTGAGCTCAGGAAAAGCTGAATGTGACACTGGAAGGCTGAAATCCAGAAGATACAGCATCTTACAGGGAAAAATTCCACAGAGTTGCAGCCCTTGGCAAGGTGTCCCTCTCGAAAGGCAGCAAACACCTTTGGGAAAGCTGCTGCCCACAGCACTTGGTGCTGCTGCTGAGTACCAGGGATGTGGGAACTCTTTCTGGGGGTGAGGGTGTTAAAACATCAACCAGAAAGACCAGAAATGACCAGGACCTGGGGAGGTGCTGGTGCACACTGAGGTCTGTGAGGGATCCAAAAACCAGGAAAAACCCCACAGCCTCACCTGGGGGTGGGCACAGAA